TACGGAGCGGAATTTCAGAAAATCTAGAAAAAAGGCAATTTTCACACATCGCAAATTTCCTTCCGTAGAATTTTCTAGTTTTTTTTCTGATGATTCCTTTCGACGTTATTATCATATTGGAACAATAAAAAGAAGGGGTCACCGGACTTGTTTTCATGCAATAGCTTTCGTGAGTTTAGCAATTTCCACGCGCGTTCTCGCGCATTTAAAAATCTGGATTCTATAAGATCGACATTTGCTCATGATCTGTTTTAGCTACCGCTGACAATTGCGTGTGCTCGCGCGAGCACCTACGATCTGATGTTTACAGATGTTTACTACCAAGAAAATCATTAAACAGCCGTCAAAGACAGCCTCCCGAGCTTATCTTAAAATCCTACGCACGAATTCTGGCTATATCATATTATTTTCCTTGAAGTTTCAAATTCCTTGAAGTTTCAAAGACTAGAATGTCTATCCACTTCTTGATATTATAGAAAGGTTGCGCATTCTCCTCAGTTATTTTAAGAACTTGAGTGTTGGTCCGGCCGGGGCTCGAGCCATCGACGTCGACCTCCCGCACAACAGTCCAGCGCTTTAATCAATTGAGTGAACCTGGAGGGGGTTAGCTCAATTGGTTAACACAATCATTTATTAAGAAATTGATCGCTATTGATCAATATTTACTCGCATTAAGTTTCCTCCAAAAAAGCCATTCTAATCTTGTTCGTTTCTGTTATAGAGTTTATTGCAACCAAACTAAGATGAAAATGAAGATGTGTGCACTTTTGTCATTTTATATCCTGGCCATGTGTTTCATGGGATACTGTGTTTCATGGGATACTGTGTATCAGGTATTTATAGAGGCTTTATAGGAGCTCTTGAAGTTCCAGTTCGCAAAACTTCAAAGAAATTGAAGCTAGAGAAGACATTCGGCTGATATGATGTTGAATAATACTCCTAATTTGCCGCCTTTCCGAATTTCTGTCGATCTGGTACAAGAGTTTTAAGCTTTGAGCTTTTTAGCTGTAAGGGAATTAAGCTAGTCAATCAGAGAAACAGTTAAACAACCCAGCGAGCGACTCCATCCAAATGTATTTTCTTTGTGACAATCTATGTACATGAGTACACGAGCAACGCTACGACCGGAAATTTTTTTCCTTTCTTTTTCGTGGTAAACAACGTTTAAAGTTGTTGCTTTTATCACTTTCAGCGCTCAGTAATCATTATCAATCATCAACGTTCAATCATTCCTCTTTCAAAATGTGGTCGATTTACTATGCTACCTATGGACTTGGATGAGACTGGAGATTTGATAAAAAAAAATTTCATTTGTTTTCAGGTGCCCACATTGAATTGAAACAACATTTGAAAGAAATGGGAAATATCAAACGAGAGATGGGTAGGCATATGTGTTCATACCGTACCATTGAGGAGTACCTTGGCTAAATTCTTATTTTTTGTTAGGTTACTTTATTTTAAACAGCGCCTTTGACTTTGTCTGTTTATGATCTTTAATGATGAAACCGTTTGGACCCTTTTGCGGGAATGGAACAATAAATCCGGCTCGTTGTGACAACTCTCTGGCAAACTTACAATTGGAATTTTGTTTTACTTTTGCATTGAGCACCTGAACAATTGTTATGTTAAAAATAGTGTTTGGTTCACATTGATAATTTCTAAAATAATCTCTACTGTAGAGAGTAATTGGCTTCGACAAATCCTCATCTAAATATATTAAACCGTAACAGTTTCGAGGTAGGAAGAGTTTTTTATTTACAATCTTACTGCAGACAAAGAATTTTCATGAGGACCCAGTTTTTGCTGGATCGACAAAGTGCCAGCCGCCAGCCAGGCCACCCAATTTGATAATGTATCCTTCCTCGTTTTTGCTCTGGATCAACCTCATATTTCATGAACGGAACATTGGATCCAATATAATTTTTCCAAATTCTTAATCAGCAATCTGTGGTACAATGGGCAGTTTCGATATACCGGCCAGTCACGGCCTGGATAAGATCAAGATTATCCCGAGATTTTGAATCACTTTTAAGGAGTTTCGGTGCGTCGTTAATTTCCCACCCTTTTTGTCCTTGGTGACATCCATAACAAGATTAAAATCTCCCATAAGAATAGTTTTCTTCATACCACACGTTATCATTTTTTCACGTACATTTTGGTAGAAATATGGTCGTCTTTGT